TAAGATAACAGAAGCACTCTCTTCCCATCATGACAAACATTTCTCCAGACAGTGCCTAATATCGAAGTGGGGATATGGGTAAGAGTTACATTTGTTATAGAACTACTAATTTTTCGGAATAATGAGGTGGAAGTGAATGCAGGACTATGTTACTTAGATAGTGGACAATTGTAGGCAGACAGAATGGACAATGTATTCAGGAATTTTGCTAGAGGGAGAGAGTACATTCAGAGACAGAGCAATAGTTGAATGGGAAAGTGGGGTAAATAAAGAGGTGTTTGTGTTGAGATAGGAGCAGAATGGTTATAAATAACCACCATTAGAATGAATGAAGGAGAAAGAGTAAAAGAAAGTGGTTGAAGATTTTGAAAATGAAAAAAAAAAAGAAAAAGTGAATAATGCAAAATTTGGAGAAAGGTAGAAAAGACTAGACTAACACTGATGGAGAGTCAAGTCTTAGAAAGAGTGACCTATTCTCTAGCTCCATGAAACAGAAGGAAAGAATGAGGACTAATACACGTGTATTGGTCAATTAGGTAAGGGAAGATATAGCTACTCCCCTTTGATAGCTCCTCTTTACTGAGAGAAATAGGATATATAACAATTGAGAAAAGGTAGATGTTCATAGAGAAGAGTACAGAAGTTAGAGGGACAGGGTGAGTTAACCAGATAATTGAATAGAATTTGTGAGCAGAATTAAAGGATGATTTGAGATCAGTCATACTTATTGTAGGTGATACCAGTATGTGTCATTTTAGAGGATAATGTTCTGGCAATACTCACTGACAGGGCAGACAGGGGAATTGTTAGATTTATCCCAACTAGAGTTTAGGGTATTCCTGGTGGGGCATTTCTAGATGGATTTTGAGAACAAGGATGAAAACAACAAGCGATAGTAGAGAAAATACAGAATGAGTTAGAAGACAAGACTATACTATATATTATATTTATTATATTATTATATTATATTTTCTTGAAGAACAGTCTTGGTTGACTGTAGCAACTTGGTAAAACAAGAAATGGTGGTCAGGAAGGCAAATGATCAACCAGTTAATGGGAAGTGTGGTATCTTGTGACAATTTTGAAGTATAGATGGTGACCATCAAAGTGGGGAAGATTTCAAGAACCGGAGACATCAGAAGGTTGGAGACATTCATGCAGATGTTGAGTTGACTGTAAAACTCTGAATGGAGAAGATAGACTTGTTTCAGGTGATCCAGTTCCCATGAATTAGAGAATGTGACAGAAAACAAAAAAACTACTGTAGGAGGTTCAATATTCAAAGGCAAGGCAGCAGAGGCCAACACCATAAGTTTCATTGGAAGGGAGATTTTCAGAGTCACGGAAGAGTTGTAATCTGCAAATAGTATATGGGTTCTTGAGAGTTCCCAACTCTCCTCTGGTCTAGACCAGCAGGCTTGCACTCTGGGAAGAAAATGACGTAACAGGAATATGCTTTCAAGAAAATTATGCCCAGAGAGATGGCTTCTAGGAGAGTCTTCTGGAGTCCATATTTATGCTCTTTATCCCCATACCCTGAAACTTTTAGTATAAAAATAATTGACACATAATTACTTCCATATTTGAGCTAAATATGGGGCTGCATCCTATCCCATTAAAAACTATGCTGAAAGTTCTGCAGTAGTTAAGGAAAAATAGATACTATCCAATTATACTACATTTGTTTTGCCACACTTTTTTTTTTAAAAAAAGTACAAAATACATGTTAAATATTATGTACAAAAGAGAAGATGCTCTATTGCATCTTCATAGCAATTAATACTAACCCAAGAAATTTGGCCCTTTATTTCTCTTCTTAGTTGCAGAATGAAAGACAAAAGATCAGTCACAAATTCTAGATTAGAGTTTAGGTCTCAATTCTATTTTTTACTTTCTTACACATACACTTGCAAACATTGTTATTGTCTCATATAAACAAGAAAAAGACACAGAATCTGAGTTGACAATAGTTGGGCCTTTATACTCGATGATTCTTAGTTTGTGTTCTCCCAGATGCAACCACTAGACTAGGATTCAGGTGTCCGTGGCTTCTATGATAAAAGTGGCTACCTCAAGAAAAAACTTGAGGTATGGGAGGTATGAAGAATGAGTGAAGAAAGAGATATCAGTCAGTAAAAAGTGTGATTTAAAGCCATCTTCCACTGAATTTCTTATTGCCCAATAAAAAGTGCTTCAACATAGCCCAAAGTCTGAATCTTACATTTGAAAAACCATAATCACAGAATAACCAGCATACCGAAGATTAGGGTACTGCTGGCCTGATATTGTAAAATCTTCAAAACTAGTGCTGAAGAAATAAAATCTAATATACTGATATATCATAAAGTCAATAATGCTATAGATCTCTTTACTCAATATAAATGATAAAATCACATTGCCTATAGCTGTGTGAATAATATGTATGAGACAAATACCACTTACATAAAGTAACAACTAATAATTTTCTGGGTAGGCAAAATCATCTAGAACAGCCTATAATAAACTTGTCACTAGATTGGTAAGTATCCAAGAAGAAATCACGAATTTACACAACGACCTGAGGAGAGGAGTAGATCCACCAGCCAGCGACATGCAGAAGATGGTAAGGCTAAGCAATAGCAATAGCAACAATGCAATCAGAGAAAGGAGGTTTACTAAGTTTTTAGTGGTTCTATGTACTTCCATTATGCTAAAAGTGTGATTGCCATTAGAAACCTTTGACATAGCAGAAGAAAAATGAGAGACCCAGAAAAGGTAAGTAACTTTCTCACAGTAATGGAGTCAGTAAATTTCAATGTAAAATCAAATAGTCTAGTTTCATTCTTATGTGCCCTAGGATAGAACTTCTCAAACTCTAGTGCTTAAGAATCACCTGAAGGGAGCTGGCAGATGGCATGATGGTTACATTGCTGGACTCCCACATGGCCTATCACGGTTCAGGCCCCAGACCCAATGGCTTGAAAATCACACTGGGCACATGATTTTCAACATTCCAGGAGGAGACTAGAAGAGAAGGGATTGTGCCATGGCCATCCTCCCAGAGGGTGATTTCTCACTTTCCCTCTCGCCATCTGTCTCTCTTCGCCAAGCGCACACACCCTAAGGCAAAAATCTCTTTTAAAAAAAAAAAAAGGAAAGAAAGAAAAAGAAAGAAAGAAGCACCTGAAGAACTTGGTAAAGCACAATTTCCTGGGCCCCATTCTCTGATACCCTGATTCATGTAGCTCACCACAAGCTCCTAGATGATCCTGACGCTGCCGGTGCATACAGACAAACTCGATTAGCAAGTGATCCAGGAATTTCATAACCAACTTCCTTGGGCATAGCCCAGAGACTAAGACACTTGTATGAACACTAGGATGTCCAGATTTTAAGTCATTAAGTACTCTCAGGTAAACAAATATTGGAAAATTCATTCCTCAGTTTCAGTGTTTTCCATAAAAGGTTAGAGAAGTTATTCTTCGACTCTAAACTTGCTGTGCTCTATCATGAGAGTGATTTGAAAAGTCTCAGGTGTATGAGGTGATGAGCCTCACATTCCCTGGCTACTAGGTTCATGGGCAACCTCAGCATGCTTCCTTGAACCTGAATTGTCCTGGAATAACAAAGTTTAAACATAGTACAGGCTCTGGAGGGTGTCTAATGAACAACTTCCTGTTACACATGTAAAGAAGAGAAAAGAAGGGAATAGAACATGGGTTCCATTTTTTTTTCCCCCTTTGGCCACCTTCAAGTCCAACATATTATTTGAACAGAAAAAAAGTCAATACTTCCATAGCATTCTTGCATTGTGAGTGGTCACTGACAGCATAAGGGCTTATTATCAACAGGCATTCTTCTATGACTTTATTACCTTAACTCATCAAATTCCCAATGCAGTCATCTTCATTTCACACATTATTAAACTGAGCCTGGGGAACATAAGTAGCTTATCCAAAATCATAAGTACTAGAACTCAGATTTATATGTAGGGTTGTGTACTTGCCAGAGAGAGAAAGAGATAGTGAGAAGGAAAGTGAGAAACCACCTCCCAGGACAGATGGCCTTTTCCTCCCTTCTCCTCCAGTGACTTTGGGCACAGATGCACATGCACCTGGCACGATTTTCAAGCTTCCAGATCCAGGACTTGAATCATGGGTTGAGCCATGTGGGAGTCCAGCGCCTTAACCACTGTGCCATCTGCTGGCCTGCTCAAGGAGCCTGCTTTTAAGAACTTAGCATTTCTCTCTCTTTCTTTTTTTTTTTTTTTTTTTTTTTTGAGAGAGATTTTTGCTATAGGGCACATGCACTCTCCAGAAAGACAGAGAGACAGACAGAAAATGAGAAATCACCTCCCAGGGTATGGCCATGCCTCAATCCCTTCTCATCCACTCTCCACTCAGGATTTTGGGCATGCCTGCACACGCACCTGGCATGAGTTTAAGCCACCAGATCCAGGAATCAAACCACAGTCAACTACATAGTAGTTCAGTGACATAGCCATTATGCCAACTCCTGGTCCCCTTAACATTTCTTATACAACCAGTTCAAGTCCTTAGTTGCCAGGTCAGCAAATAGATATAGCTAACAAGTATGAATGAAGTTTAAGAATAAATTAAAAATAGAGTCTCTGATTTCAGAAACCCAATTACTGTGGAGGTGTTTTTATCTGTTCTTACAGTGCTAATAGAAATATCTGAACTAAGTGTTTAATGAAGAAATAGAGATTTATCAGTTCATAATTTGGTGGCTACAAAGTCCAAATGTGCTCGCTCACCCTCTCTCCCACAGTAACCAGCTCTCACAAGAACCATCTATTCTTACAAGAGCTAAAACTCACTAGGTCTTGTGAAACGTCATTAATTTATGCATTATGCATTCACCATGAATCGATCGTCACCCACTAGGGAACACCACCTTTCAGCACTAAATTCCAAAATTTGAAACTCTGGGGGACAAGTCACTATCCAAACTGTAACAAGAGGGAAGATGAATATAAGTAAAATATATATTTAAATGTTAAAGTTCGAAGTTATTAAATATCAACCAAGTGATAAGTGTACAGTAAAGCTAAGTAACATTTCAAAGAGAATATGGCGCCAACTTATAGAAGGAGCAGCAACAAATTTAAGAAATAATAGGACTGGGACCAGCAGTTGGCATAATGGCTATGTCACTGGACTCCCATGTAGTTGACTGTGGTTTGAGTCCTGGACCCAGTGGCTTAAACACACATCAGGTGCATGTGCATGCATGCCCAAGATCCTGAGAGGAGAATGAAAGATAAGGGATTGTGGTGTGACCATCCCCCCTAAGGGGTGATTTCTTGCTTTCTGTCCCTCTGTCTCTTTCTGTCTTTCTGTCTTTCTGGTGAGCTCATGCGCCCTGTAGCAAAAACCTCTTAAAAAAAAAAAAAAAAAGAAAGAAAGAAAGAAAGAAAGAAAGAAAGAAAGAAAGAAAGAAAGAAAGAAAGAAAGAAAGAAAGAGAAACAACAGGACTGAAGAGTCAAATACAACTGCCAAGTGGAAATACTCTTTTCTTTTCTTTTCTTTTTTAGAGATTTTTGCTATAGAGCACATGCACTCACTGGAAAGACAGAAAGTGAGAAATCACTCCCCGGGGGATGGCCAGGCTGCAATCCCTTCTCCTCCATTCTTCTCTAAGGACTTTTTTGGCACACGTGGAGACATGTCTGGGATGAGTTTCAAGCTGCTGGGTCCAGGACTCAAACCAAACCATGGTTGGCCACATGGGAATTCAGTGCTTCAGCACTATGCCACTGCTGGCCCCAAGTTTTCTTAAAAAAAAAAAAAAAAATGTACATGTACATGTAGCATTAGGACCTGATTAAATAGAACCATTTGCTAAGGCCATAATTTGCACCTTTTGTGTTACAATCATAAATACTCTCTTGTGAGTTTTTATCATGGGGTATCTCATTGAAAAAAAGCAGTATCTTACTGATATTAGTCAGAGGTAATGTGTTAGATAGCTTCCTCAGAGTGGTCTGAGTAAGTGTTCCAGTACTCTCTCCACTACCAGATACTGGCTGTGATTTACCAGATTCGTCGCAGTTCTAGCCAATGTTAAAACAAAACACTGTTGTTGTTTAAAATTGTTTTTCTAGTGAATGCAATGGCATCCCCACTGCCCAGAGATTCTATGCATAGACCAGATTTGTTGTGTCACCTCTGATCTTTCATTCCACATAACCATGCCATAATGTCTTCTCTTCCTGCATAAAATAATTAAAACCTGCAAAAACATGTTTTCGCTCATTGTAAGCTGATGAGTTATTTAATTCATCTCACAGTTTAGCAAATTTATCATCTTAAAAGGTAATTCTAGAAAGCTACCTCAAGATGGCAGCATGTGCATATAATAGAAAACTTATTTCCATGCAAGAAAAATGTTGAAAATATAAATGTCACACAAGAATGGAAAGTTATCTGTTAAAGATAATGTATATGATATGTTTGGCTAGATTGCCGTGCACTGCAAGTATACTCAGAAAAGCATATTGTATGAATGATTAAATGTAAATAAAACATATTATAAAGAGAAAAAAATCTGAAAGTTCTAAATTCTAAAGAATGTTTGAACAATTTAGATAAAAGCATATAGTAAAAACTAACTGTGTGACTTTTGTTGGTAACATGCTCTGTGAAAAATGCAAGAACAGTTTCTTCTTGTTTTTATTTATTTATTTTTAAGAGAGAATTTTGCTATAGGGTGTGTGCTCTTACCAGAGACAGAGAGACAAAAAGTGAGAAATCACACATGTGTGTGCTGGGTGTGAGTTTCAAGATGCCAAGTCCAGGACTTGAACTATGGTAGGCCATGTGGGAGTGCAGCAATGTAACCATTATGGCATCTGCTGCTCCCAAGATCAGTTTCATAAATGGATGTATAGAGCGAGGGATCAGTAGATGGTGTAATGGTTATGTCATTCACTCCCACGCAGTTGACTAGGGTTCCAGTTCCGGACCCAGCAGCTTAAAATGCTGGACATTTGGACCTATGTCCCCAAAATCAGTAGAGGAGATTGGAGGAGAAGAGATTGCAGTGTGGGCATTCCCCCACGTAGTGTTTTCTCATTTTCTGTCTCTCTGTCTCTCTTTGTCTCTCCAGAGAGTGCACATGCCCTATAGCAAAAATCTCTCTAAAAAAAATAATAAAATAAAAAATGGATGTATAGGGTGCAAAGATGACAGTGTTAGGGAGATTGTATTCACAGATTTGGCCTACCCACCAATAAATATAGGGAGAGTAATAGTATCTCCCTCATAGTATCTGTTAGAATAAAGTAAAAATTGATTAGAAGATTCTGGCAGTGGTGTTAGCTAATTATTATTATTATTTATAATTATAGATAAAGATGCATGATGCTATACTTGCTTCTAAAAAGCTATTTTTTTTCAACACACACTGAGATTTTGCAGATCACAGTTAATACATATTACATAAAGTATCTACTTAAAACTCTTTGAACCGAGGCCAGCAGGTGGCATGGTGGTTAAGGCCAGCAGGTGGCATAGTGGTTAAGGACGCTGGATTCCCACATGGAGCAATCCTGGTGGCTTTCTTTCTTTTTTTTTGTTGTTTTGTTTTGTTTTGTTTCG